TGTTTTGATGTGATTGGAAAATAATTTATCATTCTGATTTTAAAAAAGAACTAGTCTAATATCACGGGTCTGTCTGTCTGTCGTCTGTCTGTCTGTCTGTCTGTCTGTCTGTCTGTCTGTCTGTCTGTCTGTCTGTCTGTCTGTCTGCCTGCCTGCCTGTCTGTCTGTCTGTCTGCCTGCCTGCCTGCCTGCCTGCCTGCCTGTCTGTCTGTCTGTCTGTCTGTCTGTCTGTCTGTCTGTCTGTCTGTCTGTCTGTCTGTCTGTCTGTCTGTCTGTCTGTCTGTCTGTCTGTCTGTCTGTCTGTCTGTTCACCGTGCCAGCCTCGATTTGTCTTAGTCTCCCTCTTTATACATTTTACACATCTTCCTCACTGACATTCTGCTGAGTAACCACCGACCCGGCTGCATCGAGATACCAGCTAAATGATGTTGTGTATCTATGTAGTATTGCTTAATTTGTATGTGCTGATGAAGGCTCAATAACCGTAACGTTCATGTTTTGTTTGTATTTGTTATATGGTGAAGCTAGCTAATATACTTTTCGTTCGGTTTTATATCTTTACTTATACAAAAAACTCAGGCAGATGCGCTCCGACTTAGAAAAATATGTCACTATTTAGCCATCTTTTACTACATATTTGTGTGTTTTTGTTGTTGTTGTTGTTGTTGTTGTTAGGGGGTGAGGGGTAATCCCCTGTTGATACTCACACTGGAAACTATTTTAATGTTTAAGATCCTTCTAGCCAACCTTCTAATTCGGTTGACCCATACTAAATAGGTGCTCGGAAATTTCTTCTGAAGTCAGTTCGGTCGAAATTATGTTGACCGTATCACCTATGGAGTTCCTGTTTGTGTACAATGAACACACATTTGTGTGTGGGCTGTGTGGTTCTTTGTGTGCTGATTAAGGCTAATCGCCGCGACGTCCTTTGTGTGTTCGTTATGTCTGATTTTGTAAAGCTGGCATAAACTATTTGTTTCTTTCTGACCCCCTTTTCCCTCTCTTCCATATAATTTCCTACCCTTTTAAAAGCTGCTTGTGTACAGGAACCGTCACCGTAGCACAACATACCTAGTTAAAAAGGGCAACGGGATCCTTGTGTGTGTTATCTAGCATGGGCAAAGTAAACAGAGGCGGTTTGCGGATTAAGTACAGATGATACAACAATATTATGAATTGATTATCTCAAAGGAGGATTTGTTGTAATCAAAGAATAATACTGTAAAGCGCCTCTACAGTGCATGTTGTTCAGGGGTGGGGGGGGGGGGGGGGGGGGGGGGGGGGGGGGGGGGGGGGAGATCCGAAATATATTTTTTAAATTCAGAAAATGCGGATATGACCCAGTTGGGTACCGTCATAGGACATTAATAATTCACGCTTGGTTGAGCCAATCCCGGAAAGAGAAGAAGTACGGTAATTGGCTAAAACAAGCTCGTTTCCGGGAGCCGAACACTGGGGTTGTGGTGTTAAAGGGGGAAAAAACATACAACTGACGGACGTTTGTTTGTGGTTCCCGTTTGTTGGCGTCTTTCATGTGACATAGCATCTCCGCATCTTATGGTAGTTTTTGAACTGTTTTTCAGAAATGGGGACAATAATGGTATGTGGCGAACTGCTTAGGTTGTTGGCCTTTCTGTCTGAAGGTCGCTGGTTGGTTTCTGACCGATTTATATGTCCTATATTTTTTTTTGTTTTACATTTTAAGAGTTGTTGCTGGGGATATGGAGATTGTACTTTGTGAAAAGTTCTCGATAGCCACCGGCTTCTGCTAAGAGAAATAGATAGAGAGAAAGAGAGAGAGAGAGAGAGAGCGAGAGAGACAGAGACAGAGAGAGAGACAGAGACAGAGAGAGAGATTAAAGGACTCTTTTTCGCGGCTTCAGGACTTCACATATATTTTTAGACCAATCAGCACTTGGCGGGTAATGTGGTCAGCAATTCGCCGGCCGTCTTTACTTCCCAGGACTGTATCTGCACTCAAGGCTGGGTCGACCTAGAAGCCAAGGTCATTACAAAAAAAAATTTTTTGACGCCGTCACAACTGATGATGATGATGTATAAAGTGAAGGACACATCGTTATGGGGTATCAGTCATAGTATTAGGATGGGAAGGAACTGGTTTCCTTTCTTCTTATATTATCCTACTCTACATAAAACAAGAGCTATATGTGTGCCTAGCTCTGCGAAATTGGTGCGTTGGGGCCCTTATAAAATAAAACCCTAACCGGCAGAGTCCATGGCGACAGCACTAGCCATGCGGCCATAAATCCTCAGCCTCAAATACTTGACTGGCCAGATCCTTGTGTTGAATTCAGTTGAAGCACTTGGCTCGTTTCTGTCCTGTACCAGTCGAACCTCACCCCTGTGACTGTACACACGTGGGAGTATTATTTTGCGCGTAGTTTATTCTTTACAAATCCTGTTTACTTAGAATTTTACAAATCCTATTTATGATTCGAGGAGGTGCTGAAACGCAGTGGCCAATCGCTTGCCTGCTTGCCGAGTTTGTTTCTTTGTGTTCACCTCTTTTTTTCGGTGAGAATTTTCGGATTTTTCGGTCACAAACTGTGGGTATTGTGTGAATGTCTAAACCCCGCATTCTGGTGCGTCAAACATCACATCAAGTAGCCTCTTATTGTGTGCGTTTGGTCGGTGCACACGAGAAATCTGGCAACCCAAGGTGTAATTTACATTACCCATTTTAGTAGTCGTCTTTCAATTGCTTTTTTATTGGCGTAAAAAAAAAAGTTTTATGTCCTGACATGTTAAACTCAGCATGGGACCAATTTAGGATTAACATAAATGTTTGGGGAGGAGGGGGGGGGGGGGGTGGTGACGACTGTCACCCCCTGAGACAAACTGATTGAAATGAGCTCACCGGGTGGGTTCCGGGACCCCATTCTGCGAAGAAACAGAAATAGACCCACTGCACCCATTACAAGCATGTCACACAAGGCGATTGATTGTGGGTGTTTCCTTCGAAGTCGGAGTGCATCTGCCTGAGAGGCCATGAGCCAACATGGTGCATACGAATAAGCCAGTTCTGTAAAAGGGATATGCATGAAAATCCAGGTTCTGGAACGAGACCTGATTCCAGAAGTGGATAAACAACCATAACTTGCTATGGGAGTTCATCAGGGCTAGTGAAGGCAAAGAAGAAGAAGAAGAAGAAGAAGAAGAAGAAGAAGAAAGAAGAAGAAGAAGAAGAAGAAGAAGAAGAAGAAGAAGAAGAAGAAGAAGAAGAAGAAGAAGAAGAATAAAGAAGAAGAAGAAGAAGAAGAAGAGAAGAAGGAGAAGAAGAAGAAGAAGAAGAAGAAGAAGAAGAAGAAAAGAAGAAGAAGAAGAAAAAGAAGAAGAAGAAGAAAGAAGAACAAGAAGAACAAGAAACAGAAGAAAAACAAGAAAAAGGAAACAAAAAGAAGCAGTAGGAAAAAGACGAGAAGCTAGTATAATTGGTGGAGGAACACCCAGAACTAGCTGCCGGAGTTTACAGCCAGTGGACGCAAAGAAGAAGAAGAAAAAGAGGAGTAGGAGGAAAAGGAAGAGCTAGTATGGCTGGGGCAATCCCACCCACAATGGACTACAGCTGACTTCGTACCCGCGTTGTGGTGTCCCACTATACCTGTGCTATATGGCTGGACACGGTTTCCGTGATTTCTACGTTTGATTCTCATCCTTGAGTTGTTAATCCCACAGACTGCAGTCTTTGGGGCGAGAAGGGGGAAAGGTGGGGTGAAAAAAGGGGGGGGGGGGGGGGGGGGGGGGGCATGCATTGGAGGATGCCAAGCAATTTTCTCTTTTCTCTTTTTTCATTTTCCAATTGTTATCCTTTTTGAAGTCATTGCTGTGTGGCGGTTGGTAGTCATGTGTGTCCACAACCGTCTATCCCGTGCACTTGCAACTACCTCTGACACATATGATCCTCTATGTCTCCCTCTACTTTTCTTTCCCTCTAACTTTCTTACATGTCACGATGTAGTACAGTTTTCTCTTTCTCATGACATTCTCAAATTACGTAATGATTATTTCGGTTTTTTTTTTCTCTCCAACTGAATTAGCAGTCTTAATGTTATAAAAGCAGCTTACTCAAAGAGCCGCTATTCGGAAGTCATCCAACAGAATTACATCTCGGATAACGCGTTCAGCTGTACAAAACAGTTATCCCTTCGGCTTCATTATCTTCTGTTTGGGCGCAGTTTAGCTAGGCACATGCTAATGGTGATATCAATGGTGGGAATGATGAGGATGGCGATATTACATTAATCTATTCTTATTTTCATTTTCATTTAATTATATAATTAGCCTTTCTGTAGAGAGTTAAATGCCTTGATAGCTTGATCATATGAAAATGGCGAGTCAGCAACACTGACTTAATCCGTGATGTTGGGAGTCGAGTGAGATAGAACTTAACGGCTTACTCTTATCGGTTGGGCGCAAGACGAGGATGTGTGTATGTATGTAAACAGAGCATTCTTTTAGTATCAATACACCCTGATTTATTTGTATTTTATTTTGCAGGGATCTAACCAAAACATTTGACGTCTTACTAGGCTACGTCAGTGTAATGAACCAATTCGTTTCTGAGGAAAAAGTGATGACCTGTCAGTAGCAGCAATCCCGCAGACAATCTTATCCTCAAGAACAGTAACTCTGGACACATCTTCAATAGTACAGCTACAATGATTTACGTTAGAGTAGTCTGTCGTGTTTGTAGCAAGAGCAATGATGAATGTTAACAATGGTTCGTAAAAAATAAACGTTATTTTTTTACAGTTTTATTATTTCAGTCTACAAATATAGAATAAAATAAACAGTGAATATTTGGATCGGATATGTAAACGGGAATACAGTCAATGATTTTATTTTAGATTTGAAGAATACGTCCTAAAATTACTAATAATTGAAACTTTCTTTTGGAGTTATGGCCCGTATTCTTATTCAGGCAATTCAAAATGGAGAGGAGAATTTGGCCAAAGAGATTATCATGAAATGCGCTTCCTATGGGGGCATCGACAGTCAGACGTCGAGGAGAGAGGGCACAGCCCTTGTTCTTTTGTTGTAGTCGGGGTTATTTGGAATTGGCCAAACTGTTGTTGGAGAAAGGTGCAAGTGTGGCCTCCACGGACAAGAACCTGGCAACGCCACTGCACGGGGCTGTGGATAACGGACACATTGAAGTTGTCAAGTAAGTATTTTCTTGTTTTTATTTTAGTTCTTAGTTTGTTTGCTGAGAAACTGTTCACTATTTATAGTACTTTTCAGAAGTTGTGTCTTCACATTTTACAAATGTATCAAAACAAAAACTCCTCTACGGATCGACATGAATGTTTGCATGTGGCCTTTTATTTCCTGTACCCTTATGATTTTATATTTACATGGGTCTCTGTTTTCCTAAACATCAAATTTCTTTGATCTTTAACTAATAATTTATGTCACACAACACCCCCCCCCCCCCCCCAAAAAAAAAAAAAAAAACACCACACACACACACACACACACACCAGAATATACAGTAATTGACAGTGTCATCAATTCACACGTGGAAATAAATTAACATGTGCAGTGGTGCATGGTAATTATTTTTACAGCCTATCCAGCATTCAAGAAAAAAAAAAAAAAAAACTCACGGGAGGTAATGCTCGAGAGTGAGGCGCCTATGAAAAGTTCCCGTTGCTCACTTAGCTGTAAGCATGCTAATTGTTTGCTTCGAATTGATGCCTTTTTTTTCCTATGAACCGCAAATAAGTTAAAATGAAAACAAGATGTTTGTTTGCAGGTAATTTCTGACAGGGACAGGATTATAAACAAGTTGCATGTGAAATGTTAACATCTTACACCAAACTGTTATGTATTTTTTAAATTTGAGCACAACTTATAGACCATACTATAATATGCTACTGGAGCCTTGATAACCCAGTGGTTAAGACGTTCGTCTGCAGGTACAAAGGTTGTGGATTCAAATCCACATGTGGGCTGTTTAAAAATATTATATATATATAAATGATACGGTCTAAAATTGGAGCTGTTGTGGTATAGCGGCTAGATGCTCGCCTTGTGGATCGAAAGGTCGTGGGTTCGGCTCCTGACGGGGCTAAACTTTTTCTTTTTGAAATGACCTTGGTTCCTAGGTCGACCCAACCTTGCGTGGGTACCAGATACAGTCTTGTGAAGTGAAGGCGGCCGGCGTGACGCTGACAATAACACTCTTACCACGTGCTTTTGAGTAGACAATGTGTCTATTCTTGTTTTCTATATTATAGGGCCCCCCGAACCCACACGGGGATGAAGGCTTTTATTTAAAGCCCCCTAATGCAGATACATACTCTGGATAAAGCTTATGGTGAGCTCAATAATGCTGTGATTGGATCAACAATTATTTGGTCTGAAGTTTGGTTTAAACAACGGATCAGCATTATTTGCACAAGGGTAGTTACCCATAAGTTCTCCGTTCAGCTTTTGACTCAAGCCTCAGTCGGAGCCTCAGTCGAAGCCTCAGTCGAAGCCTCAGTCGAAGCCTCAGTCGGAAGAATCTCATAGCGGTGCACGCTACTCTTTTCGATTTCCAACTACCAGAGGATTTTTTTCAAACGTGTGTAACAATACACACTAGCGTCCAATCTTACTACCCAGAGACAGAGGAAATTACTAGAATTCCACGTGGAAAAATCCCAGCCTTTACTAGGGTCTGAACACGGGACCTCTAGCACTCGGGGTGGACGCCATGCCTCGAGACCACTCAGCCCCAACAATGATATAACATCAACAGTAATATGATAACATCACCAATGATATACCATCAACAGTAATATGATAACATCAACATAACATCAACACTCTGCTAATAATGCTAGGAGAAGGCGGAAGCTGGGTTTCATGGAAACATCTGTCTGTGGCTTCCCCCAAAGTAACGGTTTCTGCTCATGTCTGAGACCAGGCTGCTCTTGGCTACAAGCCCACACGGATGTGCGACGTGTACAGGATATTTAGGGCTGTCTGGAGGAGACCACTGGCGGTTTGATAAACGATAGTGTTTAAGAGAGAGAGAGAGAGAGAGAGAGAGAGAGAGAGGCAGAGAGAGGCAGAAAGAGAGAGAGAGAGAGAGAAGAGAAAGAGTGAAGGGGAGAGAAGAGGTAAGGCAGACAGTTAGACAGACAATATGAATACATACACACAGATAGACATATAGACCCCCATGCAGACAGACATACAAGCATGCAGGCAGAAAACCAAGCAGGTAGACAGATAGGGGGCAGACAGACGTACCTATCGATTCCTGGACTTGGATCTTGATCTTCAACTTGGGTTTTGCGTGCGCATCCGTTTAACAGAGCTAACCTATTTGTATGCAGACCGTTAGTTCCTCGCCTCTCAGGCAGATACACTGCTACTTAGAAAGATACAGTACTTTTTGTTTGTTTGTTTGTTAAGGTGGCACTGGGTCACTGTCCCCCCCCCCCCCCCCGCCCCACCCTCTTCCTTAGTCGAGCCGGCTATACGCTGAACCCACACGGAAAGATAACATCGCATCGGAAGGTCGCGGGTTTGGGTCCCGACCGAGCCAGATTTTTAAATATGACTGGCTCACAGGTCGACCCAGCCTTAAGTAGGTACTAGGTACAGTCCTGGGAAGTTAAGGCGACCGGCGTGATGCTTACCATATCACCCACGAACTGTCGCTATCTCTATAAAATATAGGTCTAGCCCTATATGCCCAATACACAGGATTGCGTGGATAAGGGTCCTCAACTTTTACTCTAGTTTTAATACATAGTTACCGAGTCAGTGGTTTAGAACGAACCTTGTGCCAGGCCTTATGTTTTTAATTGTTATTTACTGTCTCGGCTTCCTTGTTTTTTAAGTATGCGGGCGTGGGGCGTTATCAAGTATTCATTAGCGGACTAATAACTAGAGCATACTTAAAAAAAAAAATAAAACATATATATTAACCTGGTTCAGAACCAGGAAGTAGCGATAACCGAATGCGCAAGGTCAGGCGAGGTTTCAGCGACACGAATCTATTGTTCGCCCGGTAAATACACCGTGGCCTAGTTTTCTGTTTTTTTTAAATCCTACAGACTTGCGCGACGGTTCTAAAACTGCTCAACTGAAGTCACTTGATTTTGTTCACTCTACAAAAGTACTTTAACAGTTCTTCGTTTTCTTTCTTTTTCTACCTCTTCTTCTTCTTCTTTCTTTTCTCTTCTTCTTCTTCTTCTTCTTCTTCTTCTTCTTCTTCTTCTTCTTCTTCTTCTCTTCTTCTTCTTCTTCTTCTTCTTCTACGAAAAAAACATTGGGTTAGTTTGAGGGCCCTACAAATGTTTAAGCAGGTTTTTTTTTTTTTTTTTTAGAAAGGTTATGGTGGGGTAGAGGGAGAGGTGACACTAAACACCTCCACCGTCCTAAATTCGAAGAACCTTCGGGCGCTTAGCTCCATGAATGCGCCCTCAAAAAAGTGGTATGTTGGTGAACGCCCGCGAGGAAGAGGACGAAGAAGAGAATGCTCGCAACTCCGTAGTTTCGTCCAACGCTTTTTGAGGGCTGTGTTTAATAGTTTGGAGACCGCCGAGCTTCCGCCGGGAACTATGTGTTTCATTATGTGAGCTTGAAACTGCTGAGTCTAGCGGTAATATCTGTGGTCTCTGTGATTTGTGTCTGGGTGGTAGTAACTATGAATGCCTGATGCTTGTTAGACAGACAGACATTAGATAGACAGACAGACAGATAGATAGATCGATAGATAGATAGATAGATATAGAGATAGATAGATAGATAGATAGATAGATAGATAGATAGATATGGATAGATAGATAGATAGATCGATAGATAGATAGATAGATAGATAGATAGATAGATAGAAGATAGATAGATAGATAGATGGATGGATAGATAGGATGGATGGATAGAGAGATGGATGGATGGATGGATGGATGGATGGATGGATGGATGGATGGATGGATGGATGGATGGATGGATGGATGGATGGATGGATGGATGGATGGATGGATGGATGGATAGATAGATAGATAGATAGATAGATAGATAGATAGATAGATAGATAGATAGATAGATAGATAGATAGATAGATAGATAGATAGATAGATAGATAGATAGATAGATAGATTTCCTGTTTACAGTCATCTCCATCCCTCCCCCTTCCCTTTCCTTTCCAACAACCTTCCCATAAATGATTACTTCCTGACAGCAACCTCTCAAGTCCAGGCACTTGAACCCGGAAGTCTGACGGTCTCAGAATAGACAGTTATTGACTGCCCGGGTGCCTGTTGGCATAGGCTGCAACATTCGCTCTCTCTGTGCGTGCCTCCGTTCGTGCATGCTGCTGTCTGCAAGACAGCTAGCTACCGCGTGTGTGCGCGTGCGTGCATTTTGTTCAACCAGGGTTTGCTGCTCGCTTTCTCTCCCTTTCTTTTTTTTTCGTACGTCTCCCCTTCGTCTTTTTTCTCCGTATTGATATTGTTATGCATCTTTTCCTTCTTTGTGTCCTTATTCTCCTTTAACTTTACCTTGCTTCTAAACTCGAGCATCCCTACAGTTTCATCAATGTGACGCTAACAACTAACTTTATCGTCGGCTCTTTGTAGCCCACTTTAGGATATAAACCATCTACAGACAATTGGGGGGGGGGGGGTGGGAGGGGGGTGCAGAGAGAGAGAGAGAAACGATGAGAGAGAGAGAGGGGGGGGGGGGGGGATCCTTCTCTCAGACATTCTTTCACTTAAAAAAAAAACTTCAGGGAATGATTTCTTGATAAAGCATCAAAAGATTGTTCAACACTCTCCTGCGTAATATAGAGTGAAATAGTGTAACAAGATACAGATTGATTCTATATCTGGTACATTTTAACCTCCTTTTTTCTCCCTACTTTCTGTGTGGTTTTCCTGAATCTTGTCTTTTGTTTCTTGTCATAAATGAAGCATTTTGGTAAGGACAACTATGAGGAAGTTTGTTTTGGTCTATTGTTTACAGTTAATTTGGCTGACTTATTTGTATGCAGCTGAACGTGTATACACAGACCCGTTTCTTAGCAAACGAAGAATGAGTTAATGTATTTGTAGAGTAGATTATAAAACTCTCTCTCTCTCTCTCTTTCTCGCTCTCTCTCTCTCTCTCTCTCTCTCTCTCTCTCTCTCTTTCTCTCTCTCTCTCTTTAAACTATGTCTCTCTCTCTTTCCTTTCTTTCACACACTCTGTCACTCTTTCATTCACTCTTTCACTGTCTGACAAACATTCTCTCTCCCTCTCTTATTTTCTCTTTCAAGCACACATATCATTTGTGTAAAAAAAAAACCTTGTTAAATTAGGTTAAAGACAATTTTCCACGATGTCATACTATTAGGTATATAATGTTATCTAGACCTATATTTTATAGATCGATTGACACTCGGTGGGTTATGTGGTCAACATTTCGCCGACCGCCTTTACTTCTCAGGACTTTATCTGTTACCCACTTAGGGAAGAAGAAAAATTTGACGAATATGATGATGATGATAACGTTGATGATGATGAAGAAATCGTAACTATCATGATGATGATGATGGTGGTGATGATGATAAAGAAATCGTAACTATCATGATGATGGTGGTGGTGGTGATGATGATGACGAAATCGTGACATCAATGATGCTGATGATGATAAAAATTAATAAAATTTTCTTTGATTTGTCTCTCAGGCTCCTCATTAGCCACGGGGCGAATATCAACTCCCAGAACTATCGAGGGGATACGCCGTTGCACCTGGCCGCTTACCGGGGATTTACAGACATCACTCAGTGTTTAATCAAGGCCGGCGCTGACTTCCGGTTGGTCAACTCCAATTCCTTCACTGCCGAAAACGAGGCATTAGGTCGCGGCCATCTTGAATTATGTAACTACCTCAGAACTGCTCAGAACGGTGAGTACATAGAAACTGTTGTTTTTTTAGGAGAGTCATTGATTTAGTAGGAGAGAATAGTTTGTCTGTATTGATGGACATTTGCAGAAGCCGATGGAGGAAACAGAAAGTATACAGTTTAGAAATAGTTATCTGTAACGACCAGACTGGAATTTAATACTGGCGAAGAAGAAGAAGAGGAGGAAAAGAAGAAGAAGAAGAGGAAGAAGAAGAAGAAAAAGGCAAGAAGAGGACAAGAAGAAAAAGAGGAGCAGGATAATATATAGAAAAAGGTAAAAAGTAATAGTCATATTGGTACTAGTAATAGACGCTCTAATGACAGTATCAGCAGCAGCAGCAACAGTAGTAGTAGTGGTGGTAGTAGTAGTAGTAGTAGTAGTAGTAGTAGTAGTAGTAGTAGTAGTAGTAGCAGCAGCAGCAGCAGCAGTAGTAGTAGTAGTAGTAGTAGTAGTAGTAGTAGTAGTAGTAGTAGTAGTAGTAGTAGTAGCAGTAGTAGTAGTAGTAGTAGGAGGAGCAGCAGCAGCAGCAGCAGAGGCAACTGTAATATTTGTAGTAGCAGTAGCAAAAAGAAGAAAAATTAAGGAGAGGCGGGATTCTGGAATGATAAGTGAGTTCCTGTGCTGCAGAGAACAATGGTTACTGGCTTATTCCAACGGCTTCTCCCAGTTCAGACAATGGGGACGATTTAAAAAAAAAAAAAAAAAAAACTTTTACCAACACTTTAGTACCAGTAACAGTCTGATTGCAAATTCGTCTCGCCTTTCCCTTGTGTGTTGAGCGTCGGCCAGATTCCCTGGTAACTCCCCACCGTGCTGTTCTCTTCAGACCGTAATGATTTATTCGGACAAGAGTTAAGAACACAAACTACTTCTTCTTTTTCTCCTCCAGTCCCATTCTCATTTTCAGGATCAACTTTTGAAAAGGCTTCAGGTCATCGGTTTTGTGTGTGCTTGGTATATGCGGGGATTTACGGTCTGATATTTTTCGTCTATCCATGGCTTCCATGGTCCACCCCTAGTTCTGCTTCTATTTTGTATAAGTGACAAGGCTATCTGTGGTGCATTGTCTGGTGGTAATATTGACACATGTCCGAACCATTTCATCTGCTTTTTTGTGTAGTCTAGTACTGGTTCCGTCCCAACTTCTTCCTTATACACTATCATCATTTCTGACCCTGTCTCTTTTAGTTATATTTAGAATTTGCTGTAGACTTTTTATTTATGTTGTTTCGATTTTCTTGTTTGTCACATCTCTAATTTCCCCTTTGGCACCGGCACCACACTGTTAGTAAACATATTGTATTGAATACCACTCTTTTGTTGTCACTCGTTTATATTCGTTTTGCAAAAGTGGTTACATTTGTGTCATAATTTAATTGGTTTATTACACTTGTCTGTTGTTCCATTTTTGCATTAGTGATATTATTCTTTCTTTGAGTCGCTGGTCTTCTATGCATTATGTTGATTGCTTTTTCTGCTGTTGCAGAACTGTTTTTTTTTTTTTTTTTAATGTTCATATTCATGTTTTGTGCCTCTGCTGATATGTTGGGATTATCCAAGTATCTCTGCAGTTTGAGGTTTGAACAACGGATCAACATCATGGCACATTTGTAGTAGCCCATAAGTGCTCCGTTCTTCTTCTAACTCAAGGTTGCGTTCGAAGGTGGTCAGCACAGTGCCCAGACTCTGTAGAACTGGCGAAAATCCTGAAATACTCAAAATTTTGACCGGGCAGCACTCCAATTGCCAAGATATGTTTTTTTACATCCGCATCAGTACACACAGGAGTCCGATCTCACTACCCAGAGACCAGATGGAATTACTAGAAGTCCAAGTTCAGGTGAAAAAAAATGCCACCAGCCCTTACCGTTGATTTAACCCGGAACCTCCAGCACTCGAGGCGGACACCATGCTTCGAGACCACGCAGCTCCCCCTCCCCCTCAAGTATCTCTTGCATCTCTTCCTCTATAGTTGCCATGAGGATTTGTTCGTCCGCAAAATGGAGTTCATTATGCTTCCTGTCCTCATGAACATATCCATCAAAATTCACACTTCTTGCAGGTGTCCGTCTCAAGCCTTGAAATCGGACATGTGGTTTCACGTAAAACCGAAATAGATCTGCAAACGCGGAAACGCCAGATACTGAGATGTTTTCCAACTGAAGTCTGGTAGATCTCTCTTATCAAAAACAGAGACTGCATGTCACTGGATTTCTTGTTCCTGTAGGAATACTGATAGCTTGGGATTAAAATGTCAGTGTTAATATTGATCCTTGAAATTCTCATGCACACTATGAAGGATGAGATCAATTCAGGCCAATTTAGACAGCTAGAAACAACATTAAAAAGCCTCGCACGCGCGCGCGCGCACACACACACACAAACACACACATATACACATCTAACACGCACATGGTGAAAATTGATGGTAAATTTGTTACATTTTTTTCAAAACGAAAAAGGGGATTTTACTGTCAAATTTAGCTGTAATATTTTGAGCATGTCAGGATTTAGCAGTGTTTCCTAAAGTAGGATCCACGCCCCACGGGGTTCAGCGTGGTTGGGGGGGGGGGGGGGGGATTATTCGAAATGTTTACAGGCAGTGAATGCGAAGCAGAAGGCTACTTTTCAGCGAACGGTTTTATGATTGTGTTTCAAGGGGATTGTTCAGGTTTTAGGATTGTATCCCCAAGGGATTGGTGAGGTTTTATTTTATCCCAAAGGGATGATTGGCAACGTTTTATGATTGTGTCCCTAGGGGATTTGTGAAGTTTTACGATTGTATCCCCGAGAGATTGGGGAGGTTTTATCATTATATCCCAAAGGGATTAGCAAGATTTTATGACTGTGTCCTATGAGATTTGTGAGGTTTTATGACTGTGTCTGTATGAGATTTGTGAGGTTTTATGACTGTGTCCCAAAAAGATTGGTGACTAACGATGACTATTATAAAAGCTCTTCGGACAGACCCCTAGGATCGCCTTCTCAGTAACCCGCCTTTGTCATGACATGTAGCGTAGATACAAGGAGGCGGGTTCTTTGCTCTTCAGCCAACACATCCTTCCACAGACATCTGCTGCCCTGGTGCGAGGTATTCCAGTAGGGCAGAGAAAATAAGAAGGAGAAGAACAAAATATGCCGAGTCTGTAGTACCGATTTTAAAATCAAACGGGTATGGAAATGGCTTCATAGCATACACAAGTTAGTTGCGTATCCTTTATCTTAAATTTACGTCTAGTAGTTTGCCATTTCTTCCTGAATGGTCGGCTTCTCGATACCAGTGTCGAAACCAACACAAGGCGCAAGGCCCGCAAGTGGAATCGAACCCGGCACCCCAGCATTACGAAGTGTGTTCGCAACGCCTAAGCTATAAACGCCGAAGGTAGGAAACAAGTTATAAATATTCGTAGCAAGCAGTGTTTTTAAAGCACTTCTTCGGAGTTTGACTAGAGCAAACAAGTCAGATCTACCGTGTTCATTGACAAAAAAAAAAAAAAAAAACAGCACACTTGGTTACACACGAGAGTTACACACAAAAGGACATATGCTTCTACTTTAAGTGTTGCCGTGCTATAGAAACGCCACATATCTCCCAGATTTACGGTACTTATCATGGAATCAAGGCCGAAGGGTTGCGATATCCATAGTACGAAGCCAACTGGTTTACAGCTCATGGTTTCTGGATTATAAAATAAAAACAAACCGAAGAAAGACAACCATTCGGAATTTAGGAGAGAAACGTCATGAAGCAGTCACGAATTTCATCATGTCCCGAGGACAGCCTTGATACTTCCGTCAGGGCCGCAATGACTGATGCAGCAGCAGAAGATTTATGGCCGCAGATGTCTCGCCAGCCGCGTTTTCGCCCGCATGTCAGAACATCCGAATATTTATAACTTGTTTCCCCCCCCCCCCCCCTTTTTTTCTCCCCTCCCTCCAACAGGCATTGGTAAACTCGGAACGTGGTCTTCTTCTTCTTTTACTTCTTCTTCGTTCGTCTTAAATATTTATTTATTTTTTTATGTTAAGGACGTAATTGTTGTTCCTGTTTACATCAGAGCTGTGGTATTTGTGTCGCTCGGCCAACACATCCGAGTTTTTAGGGCATTTGTGAGCAGTGTTGCTTATCATTACCGTCTTGTGCAGTCTTTATCTGATTCACGCCAAAGTGGCATGACATCTCAAAGTTTGCTTACGATTTGACTAGGATAAGTGCGCGAGAGTTCGGAACCATTAACCCCGTGTAGGTTACCGGGCTCTGTTGTGGGGAACAGCAAGGATAGCCCACTGCATCCCTAACAAACATGTCTTAAGAGACGACTAATTAGGGGTTTTTCGAAGTCGAAGGGCTTCTGCCTGGAACCAGCAGTATGGAAACAAATAAGTCGGACATGTAAAACAGATGAGCATGCAACACTTAAGTTCTGGAATATGATTCAAGTCCAGAAATAGATCAACAACCAGAAATTTCCGCTTGCGTTTACATACGGTGAACAAACAGAAGAAGAAGAAGAAGGAGAAGAAGAAGAAGAAGAAGAAGAAGAAGAAGAAGAAGAAGAAGAAGAAGAAGAAGAAGAAGAAGAAGAAGAAGAAGAAGAAGAAGAAGAAGAAGAAGAAGAAGAAGATGATGATGATGATGATGAAGAAGAAGAAGAAGAGAAGAAGAAGAAAGAAGAAGAAGAAGAAGAAGAAGAAGAAGAAGAAGAAGAAGAAGAAGAAGAAGAAGAAGAAGAAGAAGAAGAAGAAGAAGAAGAAGAAGAAGAAGAAGAAGAAGAAGGAGGAGGAGGAGGAGAAGAAGGAGGAGGAGGAGGAGGAGAAGAAGAAGAAGAAGAAGAAGAAGAAGAAGAAGAAGAAGAAGAAGAAGAAGAAGAAGAAGAAGAAGAAGAAGAAGAAGAAGAAGAAGAAGAAGAAGGAGGAGGAGGAGGAGGAGGAGGAGGAGGATGAGAAGAAGAAGAAGAAGAAGAAGGATGATGAGAAGGAGAAGGAGTAGAAGGTAAAGAA